CCAATGGCCAGGTGTTTAAGGCAGCTGACATTGCAGACTGTGCAGTCCGAGTCCTGGACCTGGTGGCTTGAGAAACTCTCCAGGCACATGTATGCGCATGCCCAAAATCCCAAAAGGAGGAAGAAATGGGATTGAAGCCTGACTGTTCCCCATAGGGGTGGTGCTTTCTCACTTTTCTCTCTGTTTCTGGCAAATGCACGCATCCTCTGGAAAAAAGTAAAAATTTAAAAAGTCTATTTTAAAAATAGTACAATGCTGAAAAATATTTGATAGCTAAAACTTCAAGGTAGATAATATGTTTACAGTACCTTCCTCCAATTCTCTGCAAATGTTCTAACAGGCAGTGATACAGATCTGTATTCTTACGGCTGAGATCAGCAAGCAATTCTCCAAAATATTTGGGGTCCAATTTTTCAGGGCCATCATCCTGAATTAAGATTTGAAGCAAATATAAATAACAATTACAAAAAATATTAAATTTTTCCAAGTTCATAAATATTTTGATGTGAAATTTAAAAATAAAATAACTTGTTTTAGTCATCACATGAATCAAGCCACTAAATTGACTTTGCATCTGAAGTACACATTTTTTCAATATGGAAGGAATTTAAGAGAAAATCCAACTGCGATAGCATTCTAAATTTAGTTTCAAATCTAAGTGATCCTCTGAACACAAAACTTGAATAACATGTAAACATCCTTGAATATAGGTACTTCATAAAACAGTAAAACTGGTAACTAAAATCATTGAATTTCCCATTATCACCACCATGGCTTACTCATTCATCTGTTTTCTGTGGGAAAAGAAAACATGAATTATTTGAATTATACTGACTATAGAATAATTACTTTAATTTGGATTTGCGTATTCTCAGTGAAAGCAAGTTTGATTTATTAGTATATTATAAAGTTAGATTAAGTAAACCTGCACGATTCAATGCAATGTGTTTTTACATATTTCTTGGCAAACTCCCTCCATTTATTATTTGAACTGACTAGTCAATTTGACATGGGAA